GGGGGGGGGCGCCAAGAAGAGCAACAATTTTGGATAACTGCACCAAACTAAAGTTAAAATGACCGATAATGCTTTGTAGGTATTTAGAATTAGAATAAGATACAGCTGTGGTAAAAATTGATGAGGTGAGAGGTTACATTTGGTACTTAGAATTGAAGTAGTACCAATAGCCATGCAATTGTTGGTGATAATAAGGCTCCACAACGGGTCACGACATAATCCATTGCTTTCATGTACAGTTGTCTTCGTCCCTTAAAAACGACATTACCAAAGTCACACTTATCAACTTAATGCCAATTTTGTTTGCCATTTAGTAACCTTTTTTTTTGTAGCTTTTGTGAACCTATAATAAAATATGCCTTAATTTTGGAATTTGCTCTTCATCCATCACATCGAAATCAAATATTACGATTTACGACTACAAAGGGAAAAGCTTTTTATGTTCAAATTTTCAATTAAGTTTTTGTATTTACGTACACATTACTCCTAACCATCACTTTCATCCTCATTCTTAAACTGTATAGGATAATTTTTTTAAAACTGTTTCATGGACAAGTGATTCTTTGATTATTTAAATAAACTTTCAGTTTGTGAGCGGATATGTTTCTTAAGCCTTCACCCTCATAAGTAATAGGTCATTCGCAGTTTGGGATTAGATTATGGTTTAGAACAATATTTATTCCAACAAGATACAGAAGTATGCTATTATATATTTTTGGTTTTTTTGTTGGCTTGGAAATGAAGTTAACTTCTTGGCCATTTATAGACACAATTTTTTATTTGTGGTCTTCTTATTTTGTTTGTGTTGTATGCTATGGGAGAATTTGTTTTTGTTCGTAATATGTAACACTCTTACAAAGTTCACAAAGTACTTTGGTTTACTTCAATGAGACCTAACTGAACTATTCAATGAAAGCGGTATGTATTTTTCAACCTGTACTTTCTCCAACATGTCTTCTAACGTCGATAAGTGTACTAGAGGCTTGAAAGAAGTTCTACCATCAATCTAATTAGGATTGTCAAAATAAATTGTGATATTATCTTAAAGAATTAAATCTTATAAAATTAACTCATAAAATAAGAATTATTTCCTATTTATACACTTTGTTTTGATTATATTACTATTCGATATGAATCTCTAACGTAAAATTTTCTTAAGAAGGATATCTAATAAAAACATATATAATACATATAGCGCATGATAATATGTTGTTAGTGTTAGAAGTTAAGATTTTTCTAGATACTTTAAGAAAATATTAAATATTTATGTCTGTTTGTATCTTAGTTGCATTTGGTGTGGTTAGGTATAATTAAGTGGAAATCCATATTTCAAGAGATTTGTTTGTTGCTTGGACAAATGTTTAGGTAAAAAGGAGTGTTTATCTTTATTTTGTGGAGATTTACTGTAGCATATGATATGCATATCAGAAATCTCTCTTGTCATATATTTGATGTAATGCAACTCTACGGAGAGTGTGGAAATGAATAATGAAATTGTGTAACCACTTTTCTTCCTTTCATTGAAACAAAAAAAAACCAGAAACTCAACTTCTCTGTTCCAGTTTTTTCTGTTTCAACTTCTCTGTTCTGGTTTTTCTTAACATGGTATCAAGAGCTCCATTGATCTTTTAGGGTCTGTGAGGGAGAAAGAAAAAAAAATCTGAAAAACAGAGGGCCTGTGAGTGAGTGAAAACCAACCAGAAAACCTGTATCAGAACACCCACCAAAACCAGAATGGCTTCCGGTAGCAGCTCTTTACCTCCACCTCCAGTTTTTGCTGGAGAAAATTATGATTTGTGGGCTGCAAAGATGAGAACTTATCTCAGAGCTCAAAGTTTGTGGGAAGTGGTGGAAAATGGAAGCAATCCAGCTCCTTTACCAGACAACCCAACTATGGCTCAGATAAGATTTCACAATGATGAAGTGGCTAAAGAAGGCAGAGCACTTGCCATCATACAAGCAGCTGTTCATGACGATGTTTTTATCAAGATTTTGAATCTTGATACAGCAAAAGAGGCTTGGGACAAACTCAAGGAGGAGTTCCAAGGCAGTGAAAGAACAAGGAGGATGAAGGTGCTGAATCTGAGAAGAGAATTTGAAGCAATCAAAATGAAGGAGTCTGAAACAGTGAAGGAGTTTTCTGATAGGCTCTCTAAGGTGGTTACACAAATCAGATTGCTAGGTGAAGAACTTAGTGATCAAAGAGTTGTGGAGAAAGTCTTGGTTTGTCTTCCTGAGAGGTTTGAATCAAAAATCTCATCTCTTGAAGAAAACAAGGATTTTTCTCAAATATCACTTGCAGAACTTGTGAATGCTCTGCAAGCTACTGAACAGAGAAGGTCTTTAAGAATGGAAGAAAATGTTGAAGGTGCTTTTGCAGCTAACACCAAAGGCAAAGATCAAGGCAGCAATAGCTTTGGTAAAAAGCCATTTGGTGGGAAAAAAGGCAAAGGGAAAAAGGAAGAAGACAGAAACAAAGGAGGAGCTTGGAAGGAAAAGTATCCACCTTGCCCTCATTGTAAAAAGAAAAATCATACAGAAAATTTTTGCTGGTTCAGACCTGGAGTCAAATGTAGGGCATGCAACCAACTTGGCCATGTGGAGAAGGTCTGCAAAAACAAAGTAAAGCTCCAAGGACAGCAAGCTCAAGTTGCTGAGCATCAAGAACAAATTGAGGAGCAATTATTTGTTGCTTCTTGTTATTCTGTAAGCAATAACAAAGAAGCTTGGCTCATAGACAGTGGATGTACAAATCATATGACTCATGATGCTAGCATTTTCAAGGAACTTGATCTGTCATACCTCTCCAAAGTCACCATTGGCAATGGAGAATGTGTTGATGTCAAAGGCAAAGGAGTTGTTGCTGTTGAAACTCCCTCAGGTACCAAGTATATTTATGATGTTTTGTTTGTACCGGAGATAAATCTAAACCTTTTAAGTGTGGGGCAAATGCTTGAAAAGAATTATGTTTTGCATTTTGAAGATATGAAGTGCAAAATAATTGATCCTTCTGGATGTGAATTAATGACTATTAGAATGAGAGATAAAAGTTTTCCAATAGAATGGAAACAAACAGCCATGCATGCTTTTCCAAGTGCAGTAAATGATTCTTTCTTATGGCATAAAAGACTTGGACATTTTAGCTACTCTACTTTAAAGCGTATGAGTTCAAATGACTTAGTTAAAAATCTGCCTGCAATCCAAGATAATGCTAATTTGTGTGATGTATGCCAATATGGAAAGCAAAGGAAACTACCATTTCCAAAAGAAGCTAGCTGGAGAGCCACTGAAAAATTACAACTTGTACATACTGATGTGTGTGGTCCAATGAGCACAACATCTTTAAATGGCAGCAAATACTTTCTGCTATTTATAGATGACTATACAAGAATGAGTTGGGTGTTTTTCTTAAAGAAAAAGTCAGATGTATTTGCCAATTTTCTGAAGTTCAAGTTTATGGTTGAAAATGAGACTGGACTTCAAGTTAAAAGACTAAGATCCGATAATGGAACTGAATACACAGCAGGAGAGTTCAAAAAATTCTGTGAGCAGGTTGGAATTCAGCATCAATTAACTGTTCCTTACACTCCTCAACAAAATGGAGTGAGTGAAAGGAAGAACAGAACAGTTATGGAAATGGCAAGGTGTTTGCTCTTTGAAAAGGGCCTTCCTAAAACTTTTTGGGCTGAGGCTGTTAATACTTCAGTATACTTACTGAATTTGTTGCCCACTAAAGCCTTGAAGGGTAACACACCATTTGAGGCATGGCATGGAAGAACGCCTTCAGTAGAGCATCTCAAAGTTTTTGGTTGTGTGTGTTATGCTCTTGTTCCAGAAGTGAAAAGAGATAAATTGGATCAGAAATCTGAAGTTGGTATTTTCTTGGGGTACAGCAGTTACTCTAAAGGTTATAGAATTTATAATCCAGCAACAAAGAAGATTCTTGTCAGCAGAAATGTCAAGTTTGATGAGCTATCTAGATGGAATTGGGAGAAATCCAAAGCAGAAGCCTCAAACAAAAGGCAACTTGAAGTTGACAATCTCCAAGAACAAAATTCAGAAAGTGAAGAACAAAATTTGGATGATGATGATTTTCCAGTTAGAGGCACAAGAGATCTAGCTGAAATTTACGAAAGGTGTAATGTTGCTGCACTGGAACCAAAAGAATATGCTGAAGCTGCTGAACTTGAAGGTTGGAGAGTTGCTATGCAGGAGGAGATGAATATGATCGAGAAAAATAATACCTGGCAGCTTGTGGACAGGCCAATTAATCAAAAGGTAATTGGTCTTAAGTGGGTTTATAGAACCAAACTTAATTATGATGGTTCTGTAAACAAACTTAAGGCTAGATTGGTTGTTAAAGGCTATCATCAACAGTATGGAGTTGATTTCTTAGATACATTTGCTCCTGTGGCAAGACATGATACAATCAGAATGCTAGTGGCATTGGCAGCAAAATTTGGTTGGAAGATCTATCATTTTGATGTGAAGTCAGCCTTTTTAAATGGTTTTCTTGAAGAAGACATCTATGTTGATCAACCTGAAGGTTTTCAAGTTAAGGGAAGTGAAAATAAAGTCTACAAACTCCATAAAGCTCTTTATGGGTTGAAACAGGCACCAAGGGCTTGGTATACCAGAATTGATAATTACCTTTTGCAAAAAGGCTTTGAAAGAAGTGAAAATGAAGCTACTCTGTATGTAAAAAGGTCCCAGAATGAAGTGAAGCTCATTATATCATTATATGTTGATGATATGCTGGTCATAGGGAGTGATTTTGATTCCCTTAGACAATTCAAGCATGATATGGAGAATGAATTTGAAATGTCAGATTTGGGACAAATGAATTATTTTCTTGGAATGGAGATATACCAATGTGATGCAGGAATCTTCATTTCCCAAAGAAAATATGTCTTGGAGATATTGAAAAAGTTTCATATGGAGAAATGTAAACCAGTGGACACTCCACTTGTTATAAATGAAAAGCTATCACTTAATGATGCTATTGCTAAAGTTGATGCTTCTTTATATAGAAGCTTAATTGGAAGTTTGTTGTATCTCTCAGCCACCAGACCTGACATAATGTTTGCTGCTAGTTTGCTGTCCAGGTTTATGCATTCCCCTAGTCAAGCTCATTATGGTGCAGCAAAACGAGTTTTGAGGTATTTAAAGGGTACAACTGATTATGGTTTGTGGTTTCTACAAAATGAGAGTGGAGAGCTTCAAGGATATGCTGATAGTGACTGGGCAGGTAGCATAGATGATTCCAAGAGCACCTCTGGCTATGTTTTCTCATTTGGGAGTGGTGTCTTCACATGGAATTCAAAGAAACAAGAAGTAGTGGCTCAATCCTCTGCTGAAGCTGAGTATATTTCAGCTGCAGCAGCTGCAAATCATGCTATTTGGCTTAGAAAAATTTTGTGTGATGTGAAACAACATCAAAATGAGGCTACTATCATATGGGTTGATAATAAATCAGCCATTGCAATTGCAAAAAATCCTGTCCAGTATGGTAGAACCAAACACATCAAAGTGAAATATCATGCCATCAGAGAAGCAGAAAAATCAAAGGAAGTCAGCTTGAAGCATTGCAGCTCTGAGAATCAAATTGCAGACATTATGACCAAAGCTCTCTCAAAGAGCAAGTTTGAAATGCTAAGATCTAAGCTTGGAGTATGTAAGAAAAATCTCAAGGAGGAGTGTTAGAAGTTAAGATTTTTCTAGATACTTTAAGAAAATATTAAATATTTATGTCTGTTTGTATCTTAGTTGCATTTGGTGTGGTTAGGTATAATTAAGTGGAAATCCATATTTCAAGAGATTTGTTTGTTGCTTGGACAAATGTTTAGGTAAAAAGGAGTGTTTATCTTTATTTTGTGGAGATTTACTGTAGCATATGATATGCATATCAGAAATCTCTCTTGTCATATATTTGATGTAATGCAACTCTACGGAGAGTGTGAAAATGAATAATGAAATTGTGTAACCACTTTTCTTCCTTTCATTGAAACAAAAAAAAACCAGAAACTCAACTTCTCTGTTCCAGTTTTTTCTGTTTTAACTTCTCTGTTCTGGTTTTTCTTAACAGTTAGGTTAAATTCAAAATGTTATTAAATCCAATTTAAAGTATTGTTAAAAGAATACCAAAAATTCTCCCATGGTATGGCAATGGCAGCCAATGTTGGTGGTGGTATGAAATTTGCCAAAAGTTGAAGGATTGTGTTGTCACATTGTGACCCCTTTTGGATTGGTTTCCAAACACTGTTGAAACTGAAAGGGTTCAGTCTTGGGATTTGAAATTCGTTGGCTTAGGTATCCCAAGTTGGGTTCTGGCTTTTGCCTTTTCTACAATGCTTATTTTCACCTTGGCTTCTAATGGTTGTCACATATCGCTGTTAGGACACATATGCCTTAGTCACAATGGGTAATTCAAAATTGATGAATCTTGTGTATCGTTCGGAATTAAGTTAATAGATCATGCATAAAAAGACATTGCACAACCCTAATTATTAGTCCACGATGTTGACAGTACACTTATAAACCGGCAAGCCAATCAAGTGAAAATGAATAAGGATGAAATACCGATCAACCTTATTAACGCCCATTTTTTAATCTTTCTATACTTACTTGTTCTTTGTTCTGATTTTAAGATTTCTGATATCATTATAATCAAATTATTATCTGTTTTGGCTTTTTGTCTTATTTTGTTTTGAAAAGGTATCGCATTGAAATTAAAAGTGTTTATAGGTTACTTTTGATTTTATGATAGGACTTTTTGATGTATTGAAAAACAGTTTATCCTAATTTGAAAAGGTTGTTTGAATATAAACTAAAAATGCTTTTAAGAATTTTTCTATGAAAGATAAAAAATATTTTTTTAATAAAAATTATGAACTGCGTATTTTAACATACTGAAATTCAATTAATCTTAATGTGTAGACTGTAGATGTGTTAATGTTCAATATTTTGTCCTTGATAAAACCATTGTAATGATATAATTATTAAACTGTATTATATACTGTAGTGGAGTATTTATCAATGAGAAATGGCAAGGATCTGAGTTAATTAATGATGTGGCTCAGAGGAGATGAATGTGTCGAAAGAGATACAATTTATGAGGTACATACCCATTGAGGATTCGTGTACAAATATTAAATACTATGAAAATGATGTTCACTGCCAACTTCCCATTCTTGAAAGGATATATATAGATGAAATTGTTACTAAGAATAAGTGTTATTTTCGTATTCAGTGAATGATAATTTTAGAAATAAATGGAGATGGACATGGTGTTATGGGAATAGTAAATTCTCATTCATAATTTTATGATTTCAAAGTATGTTGCATATCGCTAGATATTTTTTCTCTTTTTATTTCTTTGTGGTAAACATTCATTTTATCTAACATTTTGATAAAATGTGAAAATTTATGAATGGAGAATTTTTTTTAATAATCATGACGGACATTGGTATGAAGTATTTGCTATGAGAAATATTAATTAGTCTATGTTGAATAATTTAAGTGTATATAAAGTAAGTATCTCTTTTAAAGATGATATATTTCACACTTAAGATCATTCTTTGATAATATTTTATTAAATAAAAATCAAACATATTATCATTCACTGTTTTTCTATTAATGAAGCAATAATTAAGAAAACTATGAAGACTAATGCGTGTAAATAAACAGTGATTTTAGTCTCTAAAAATGATTCTCACTATTACATTACATTAGTTTTGAAATTTAAAAAAAAAAAACAAATAAGTCTTTAAAAAGTACAATAAATGTCTAAAGAACTCTTGATATTTAGATATATTGAAAGTTGGAAGTGGTGGATGCATATTCCATACTCCATAGGATAATTTGTGAGAAAGAGGGGAAGGGAGGGTCATTTAATATGCTCACATGCAGTAATCCTATCTGACAGAGACTTGGTTGGTGGTTTCATCATCCACCGCACTCTGAATAAATGAGGGCAGTTGAATCCCATTTATTACCCTTTCTTCTAATTCCTCTTATACCCTTTCCTTCCATGTCACCCTTAAATCCCATTTCACAACCCTTCATTTCACTCTCTAATGGCTTCTTCTTCTTCTTCTTCTTCTTCTTCTTCTTCTTCTTCCAAATCCCCCCCTCCTCTCCCTTCTCGCCACTCCCCTCAATTCACCCCCGTAAGTACTCCCTTTTCTTCTTTTTCTAACATGGCATCATGTCACTTCTCACATTCATCATTTCTCAATTATCATTGCAGATTCAAGAGGAGCGTGAATTGGACGAGTTAAGCCACACCCCATCTCAACACCACCCTCCAACACCCATCGTCAAACCCAACAACAACAACAAACACAAGAAAAAGAGGTCGGAATCCGAGGAAGATGCCTCCGTGTCTTGCAACAAGTGCAGGCCACACTCCCGCGACAAGATCTTCATCCTCCCCTTCGACCACGCCAACGCCAACACCAACACCAAACACTCTTCCTCTTCCTTACTCGCCAGCCCCAACGGCATCTTCAGGTCCATCGTCTCCAAGCTCACCCGCAAGAGTCCCATGTCCTCATCATCACACTCTCAACAAGACCCTCGTGAAGAACACTGGAAGATCGCACTCGCCGAACTCTCCCACAAGCTCGTCCACGCCACCAGGAAGCGCGACGAAGCCCTTCTCGAAGCTTCCAGACTCATGCACTCCATGGGAGAGTTGGAGAAGAAACTCAACAAACTGGAACTCTATTGCCACACCTTGAAAACCGGCCTCGAACAATGCACCAACGCCACTTCTCCCACAACACCCTTGAAACCTCGGACAACGCAAACCCTTGCCCTCCACCAAGACAAAGTCGTGCAACACTTCTTGGTGGCAGTCTCGGAAGCGAGGTCGTGTGTGAAGCTTCTCTCACGTTCTTTAACCATGCAACTGAGGCACATGGGGAGCAAGGTCAGCGACAAACTCTCCCTCCTCCTCCAACCCTACGACGTCAAAGTCTCCTTCACCAAGAGCCCCAGAACAATGCTCTTGTACCTCGAGGCGCTTCTCAACAGAACCTTCTTCGAAGACTTTGAAACGATAGGGTTCAGCAAGAACGCGTGCAACGCGGTCCTTAACCCCGTGGAGCGGTGTGAGGCGAGTTATGAGTGTTTCAACGTGCTTCACGCGTTGACGTGGGAGGAGGTGTTGAGTAAAGGGACGAGGCACTTCAGCGAGGACTTCAGTAGGTTCTGCGACAGGAAGATGAGCGAGATTGTGGCCATGTTGGGCTGGAACCGGGCCTGGCCCGAGGCCCTCTTGCAGGCCTTCTTTGGGGCCTCGAAGAGCGTGTGGATGGTGCATTTGTTGGCTAACTCGGTCCACCCGGGCCTCCCCATTTTTCGAGTGGACAAAGGGATCAACTTTGATTCTGTTTACATGGAGGACATGGGTGGGGACAAGGCCTCTAACTCCAACTTGGTCCCTAGTGTGGTTAGGATAATGGTTGCCCCTGGCTTCTATGTCTTTGGCAGTGCTGTCAAATGTAAGGTCCTTTGCAGGTACTTCAGTAACCTCCACCACACTATTAGTAACAAGGAAGACAAAGCTTTAACCCCTACCCCTTAACCCCATACAACATCGGCATATCAGGTATTATTCGCCTTCATCATTTTATCTTTACCAAACTACTTTCATAGAGGATAAAATCTTTAAACGATCATTAACCTCACATTCAAATTTAAGCCGATGTAAATAGCCTTAATTGCAAATTTGGATACTTCTTTCTTATGTTTGCCTATATTGTGGATGCTGTATATTAATGATTACTATTATATTGCGAGTTAAGTTAGAGTTAGAGCCTTAGAGGTTTTGAGGAGGATGTTGTTATGTTAGGCAATGTTGCATGCTTCAGATTTTTGGGTCAAAGTGAAGGATTTGGCATTTTCTGGTTTCGCTTTGTTTTATCTTCTGTCAGGTTTATTTGGACTTTTTTATCATTTTGTTTCGGAACACATCTGTCCCAAAGTTTAACCTTTTCGGAACTTTATACTTTGATGGGATTGGGATACACAACTGTGTTCATGTTCATGTTCTCATGGGTCCTAACCATGTGGATTCTGATCACACATAATTATCAGCTTCTAAAAGGATATATGTAAAGGAGGGGTCGGGTGCATTTTTACAATTTTGGAATCAATTCAATCGCTTCTAGTTATGACAGTTGAATCCATAAAAATTAAATGATTAAACCCTTTTGTTTGTGAAACGTATACTACAATGCTTATCTTCTGAATGAATTTTGAATCGTATTCTTTTCGTTATCAACATATTCCTGTTGGGAAATGACATCATAATTTCCCTTCTCTGTTAATAACTTTAAATATTAGAAAAGTGAGAATTTAAGAAAAATATTTTACTATAACAAAAATCAAAATTTCCTCATTTTATAAAGACCAAAAATCATGTGTATTATGAATGAAAAAAAATTATAGGAATCAAAATTAAAATTTACTTATTTTATCGGGTAAGGTAGTTTTTACTTTTTATCATTGAACTAATTTACTAGAGTCAAAATTAAAGACATCAAAAACAATTTATTTAGTGTAAATTAAATCAATTTTGTAAGGTTGAATTAAACTCTTAATTCACTTTCTTAAGATGTATCGGAATCTATCTTAACGATTATTAATTATTGTTGGATTTATTGTATCACCCGCAAATAGGGGTGAGCATGAAATCAAGACCCAAACTAAATCCGAAAAACTCAATAAAAAATATTACTTTTGGGTGGTTTCAAGTGGATCTTATAAAGACCAAAAATCAAAATTTCCTCATTTTATAAAGACCAAAAATCATGTGTATTATGAATGAAAAAAAATTATAGGAATCAAAATTAAAATTTACTTATTTTATCGGGTAAGGTAGTTTTTACTTTTTATCATTGAACTAATTTACTAGAGTCAAAATTAAAGACATCAAAAACAATTTATTTAGTGTAAATTAAATCAATTTTGTAAGGTTGAATTAAACTCTTAATTCACTTTCTTAAGATGTATCGGAATCTATCTTAACGATTATTAATTATTGTTGGATTTATTGTATCACCCGCAAATAGGGGTGAGCATGAAATCAAGACCCAAACTAAATCCGAAAAACTCAATAAAAAATATTACTTTTGGGTGGTTTCAAGTGGATCTTATAAAGACCAAAAATCAAAATTTCCTCATTTTATAAAGACCAAAAATCATGTGTATTATGAATGAAAAAAAATTATAGGAATCAAAATTAAAATTTACTTATTTTATCGGGTAAGGTAGTTTTTACTTTTTATCATTGAACTAATTTACTAGAGTCAAAATTAAAGACATCAAAAACAATTTATTTAGTGTAAATTAAATCAATTTTGTAAGGTTGAATTAAACTCTTAATTCACTTTCTTAAGATGTATCGGAATCTATCTTAACGATTATTAATTATTGTTGGATTTATTGTATCACCCGCAAATAGGGGTGAGCATGAAATCAAGACCCAAACTAAATCCGAAAAACTCAATAAAAAATATTACTTTTGGGTGGTTTCAAGTGGATCTTATAAAGACCAAAAATCAAAATTTCCTCATTTTATAAAGACCAAAAATCATGTGTATTATGAATGAAAAAAAATTATAGGAATCAAAATTAAAATTTACTTATTTTATCGGGTAAGGTAGTTTTTACTTTTTATCATTGAACTAATTTACTAGAGTCAAAATTAAAGACATCAAAAACAATTTATTTAGTGTAAATTAAATCAATTTTGTAAGGTTGAATTAAACTCTTAATTCACTTTCTTAAGATGTATCGGAATCTATCTTAACGATTATTAATTATTGTTGGATTTATTGTATCACCCGCAAATAGGGGTGAGCATGAAATCAAGACCCAAACTAAATCCGAAAAACTCAATAAAAAATATTACTTTTGGGTGGTTTCAAGTGGATCTTATAAAGACCAAAAATCAAAATTTCCTCATTTTATAAAGACCAAAAATCATGTGTATTATGAATGAAAAAAAATTATAGGAATCAAAATTAAAATTTACTTATTTTATCGGGTAAGGTAGTTTTTACTTTTTATCATTGAACTAATTTACTAGAGTCAAAATTAAAGACATCAAAAACAATTTATTTAGTGTAAATTAAATCAATTTTGTAAGGTTGAATTAAACTCTTAATTCACTTTCTTAAGATGTATCGGAATCTATCTTAACGATTATTAATTATTGTTGGATTTATTGTATCACCCGCAAATAGGGGTGAGCATGAAATCAAGACCCAAACTAAATCCGAAAAACTCAATAAAAAATATTACTTTTGGGTGGTTTCAAGTGGATCTTATAAAGACCAAAAATCAAAATTTCCTCATTTTATAAAGACCAAAAATCATGTGTATTATGAATGAAAAAAAATTATAGGAATCAAAATTAAAATTTACTTATTTTATCGGGTAAGGTAGTTTTTACTTTTTATCATTGAACTAATTTACTAGAGTCAAAATTAAAGACATCAAAAACAATTTATTTAGTGTAAATTAAATCAATTTTGTAAGGTTGAATTAAACTCTTAATTCACTTTCTTAAGATGTATCGGAATCTATCTTAACGATTATTAATTATTGTTGGATTTATTGTATCACCCGCAAATAGGGGTGAGCATGAAATCAAGACCCAAACTAAATCCGAAAAACTCAATAAAAAATATTACTTTTGGGTGGTTTCAAGTGGATCTTATAAAGACCAAAAATCAAAATTTCCTCATTTTATAAAGACCAAAAATCATGTGTATTATGAATGAAAAAAAATTATAGGAATCAAAATTAAAATTTACTTATTTTATCGGGTAAGGTAGTTTTTACTTTTTATCATTGAACTAATTTACTAGAGTCAAAATTAAAGACATCAAAAACAATTTATTTAGTGTAAATTAAATCAATTTTGTAAGGTTGAATTAAACTCTTAATTCACTTTCTTAAGATGTATCGGAATCTATCTTAACGATTATTAATTATTGTTGGATTTATTGTATCACCCGCAAATAGGGGTGAGCATGAAATCAAGACCCAAACTAAATCCGAAAAACTCAATAAAAAATATTACTTTTGGGTGGTTTCAAGTGGATCTTATAAAGACCAAAAATCAAAATTTCCTCATTTTATAAAGACCAAAAATCATGTGTATTATGAATGAAAAAAAATTATAGGAATCAAAATTAAAATTTACTTATTTTATCGGGTAAGGTAGTTTTTACTTTTTATCATTGAACTAATTTACTAGAGTCAAAATTAAAGACATCAAAAACAATTTATTTAGTGTAAATTAAATCAATTTTGTAAGGTTGAATTAAACTCTTAATTCACTTTCTTAAGATGTATCGGAATCTATCTTAACGATTATTAATTATTGTTGGATTTATTGTATCACCCGCAAATAGGGGTGAGCATGAAATCAAGACCCAAACTAAATCCGAAAAACTCAATAAAAAATATTACTTTTGGGTGGTTTCAAGTGGATCTTATAAAGACCAAAAATCAAAATTTCCTCATTTTATAAAGACCAAAAATCATGTGTATTATGAATGAAAAAAAATTATAGGAATTATTAGAAAAGTGAGAATTTAAGAAAAATATTTTACTATAACAAAAATCAAAATTTCCTCATTTTATAAAGACCAAAAATCATGTGTATTATGAATGAAAAAAAATTATAGGAATCAAAATTAAAATTTACTTATTTTATCGGGTAAGGTAGTTTTTACTTTTTATCATTGAACTAATTTACTAGAGTCAAAATTAAAGACATCAAAAACAATTTATTTAGTGTAAATTAAATCAATTTTGTAAGGTTGAATTAAACTCTTAATTCACTTTCTTAAGATGTATCGGAATCTATCTTAACGATTATTAATTATTGTTGGATTTATTGTATCACCCGCAAATAGGGGTGAGCATGAAATCAAGACCCAAACTAGATCCGAAAAACTCAATAAAAAATATTACTTTTGGGTGGTTTCAAGTGGATCTTAAACGGATACGATCATACCAGGTTGCCTGCCGAATTAATCTTTATTGTATGATGACAAGTTATTTTAGACCAATAATAATTATAATATTACGAGCGAAACTGAGACCGTGACACTAAAAAAAAAAAAAAAAGAGGACAAAAACACATTCGAACGGATACAATGTCATTGGGAATCGCAGTGCATAGATACAAAACTGTAAAGACATGTTATGTTTACTTTCCCTTTGCACTTGTGTGTCGTAACTCCTCAGTTTAAGAAGCGCCGCGGATGTGTAAATTAATTTTAAGGAGAATGTGTTTTGGATGAAACCAAAAGCCTAAAATTCTTTTTGGTTCAATAGGTGTGTTTGCCAAAACCCTACAATAATCTTTAAATTGAAAACCAATTATGCAACTCTAGTTGTTGCTGAAATGTTAAACTCATTAAACATTTATATGACGCTATACACGATAGTAATTATCTCTAGTCTTTTACATAATAAATAGATGAAAGTGTCTTTCTTAATTATAAGCGAATAAGAGGAAGAAAAGTATTTTTTATTCTTAAATATTACCTAATTTTATCGGATAGAATACCTGATAATCAAATTTTGATATTGTTATTATAATTTTAATGATAAAAATAATATATAAATAAATTTTAACTACTTTAAAATGTTTTTTTTTTCAATAAACAACTTTTGAGTAGTACTATCATTTTTAAGCATTTATAACAAGAAAAAAAATTAAAATAGTAAAATTTAATGCATAACAAATTTCTTTAATGTGTGATATTATTTTTTTTCCTTGTCATGATAAAGAATAAGGAGAGTACATATTTATTTTTAAATATATTAATTGTTAATTTTTTTATACACCTAATTTATTGTGAAGTCTAAATCACTAGAACTAATAT